TGCTCCCACGGGTGGTCGCCCTCAGTGCCCCCAGGACGGCCTGCTGGCAGGCGGGGACCCCCTGCCCAGGCCCCATCCAGACGGTCGGCTCGGGGTGGGCCCAGGTCTCCCTGGTGGGGATGGGGGTCAAAAGGCTCATTGTCTGGAGCCCAGCTGAGGCGGCAGCTCCGATTCGGGGGGGGCTGAGGGGACAGTGAGAGACGGGGGTAAGAGAGACCCCCACGGAGAGCCTGAGAGCAGCAGAAAGCGGGGTCCCGGGGTCGCTGGAGAGGGGTGGTGGTCAGCTGCAGGGGCTCAGAGACTGGATGGCTCCTGTCCACCACGGCCTTCTTCCCTCCCAGGAGTGTACGAGAGACCCGCCCTGTCCGCCCTCCCGGGCCCCCCCGTGAGCCCAGGAGCGAACGTGACCATGCAGTGCCACTCCGAGGTCTCGGTGGACACATTCCACCTGCTCAGGAAGGGCACCCCGCTCTGGTACCGTCGCCTGGGCAACAGTGCCAAGCCCGTTCAGGCCAACTTCACCATCGGCCCCGTGACCTCAGCCCACCAGGGGCCCTACAGGTGTTACAGCTCACACAGCACCTACCCCTACCTGTGGTCACAACCCAGTGACCCCCTGGTGCTGGAGGTCTCAGGTGAGGAAGCCCTGACCCTGTCCCCATGTCAGTTCCGGGCCCTGTCCCCAGGGCGGCTCCCAGCTAGGGTGGGACGCAGGGGCCTGTGAAGGATGTCACAAGGAGGGGCTCCGCCCCCAGAAGGGTGGGCAAAGGGCAGTGCACCCCTCCTCCTGCTCAGTGCTCACCTGAGGCCCAGGTATGTTCCCGGAGGGTGGAGGGAGACCGGAGGGGGTCCAAGTGGACCCAGGCCAGGCCTCAGGCGCCCGAACGCTCGTCCCCCCGGGACCTCCAACCCTGTAGCCTCTGACCCAGAGACCCACTCGAGAGCCGGTGAGTAACGGAGGCCTCGCTCCCAGGGCGCCAGAGTCGCCCTCCTGCCGGTGGACCTGGCCCTCTAGGCTCCAGCAGCACTTGTGTCCGGGGCTGGGGTGGAGCTGGGGGGAGCCGGGCAGAGAGGAGGGCGGTGACATTGGCCTTGGGGAGCTGGTGCTGGGGCCGGCCGAGGAAGGACAGCCCCAACAGACGGAGGGGTGGGGTCCAGCCCGGACGAGGAGCAGCGGCTGCGGCCCCTCCCCCTGTCCTGCTGCAGGTGGCGCCCAGGATCAGAGCTACAGGGACGTGCGAGGAGGCCTCCTGCGTGGTACGGGCGGGTCTCTCCTCTGGGAGGTGGGGGGAGGAGCTCTGTGGATGGCGACTTTAGAAGAGACCCTCCCTCCTCCTCACTGGGACCCTCACTGCCGCCTGCAAAGGGAAAGGAGCCTTAGCTGTGAGACCATGTGGGGGATGGGGGGGCAATGACGAGGACACATCGGGGTGTTCTACAAACTGAGGGGACCAGCTGTGGCATTAGGGGGAGAACAGGGCTTGGGAGCCGCACTGCCCTGGGTTCAATCCCAGCCGTGTGGCCTCGGGCAAGCCTCTGAGTCTGTCCAACAGGCCTCCCTCCATCGCCCCCAGGGCCGCTGGGACACCTAGGGCAGTCATGGCCACGGCAGAGTCTGTGCAGCCTGGGACAGAGCCAGGCTGGGCTGGGGGACCGGGCGGGACCTGGGGTCGGTGTTCCATGGTTGGAGGGGGAGGGCAGTAGAGGGGGGGATAAAACAAACCCCCTGTCATTGGCCCAGAGTGCTTCAGAGAGCCGCGACCCCAGCCCTCTCACTTCCTGGCTGTGTGTCCCTGGGCACAAGGCTGACCTCTCTGAGCCTCAGTGTAACCCGGCAGGCTGGGGGTGGCAATCCCAGGTTGCACGGCTGCTGGGAGTCTGAGGGGGTGAAGGCAGAGCCCCGGCCCGTGCTGGCACACAGTCGGTGATCAAGATGCGGCATCCTTATTCGCGACCTCTCTCGTGCCCAGCTCTCCCTGACTACCTGAAAGTTCTGTCCGGGGTTTTGGTGGCCCTCATCCTTCTCCTCATCCTCTCCCTCTTCCTGGTCATCCGCCACCGACGCCAGAGAAAACGCAGTGAGTGACACGGAGTGGGGAGTGTGACGGCTCGGCCGAGAGAGGCAGGGGGCTCCCTGTGGGCAGACAGGGTGCGCTCAGGACAGCAGCCAGGGAGCCAAAGACACGAGGGGACGTCAGGCGAGAAAGGCTGCGGTATTTCCCATCTGAGAACCGACTGGAGGTTGAAAGCGACCCACTCAGGAGCATCACAGAGGGACTGTCACAAAAGGGGGGGAGGCTGTGGAACAGAAGTCCAAATCCCCAAAAAACCAAAACTCCCAAAACTTTGAAGCCGGGGGAAGCCCCCGAACCGCCCCCCTGAGTGGCATCTCAACTGTACTTTACACTAAGTGCAGTTTAGTCCAAAGGTAGCAGGCCAGCTTGGTAGTCATTGCTTCAAACATAATCATGAACTCCCTAAGACCTCAAGGTCAATGGCCGTTTCAAAGCCTAGAAGTGAAGGGTGGGGCAGGGAGATTCTCCACAGGAACTGAAACAGATCAGAAAGGCTGAGAACATGGCCGTCCCGGGCAGACTAACCACTGGCACCGGCCCCGGGGGGAGAAACTGTGGAACGGGAAGGGAAACTCGACACGTGTATTTTCACCAAAACACAATTAAAAAGGCAGAACCGTGCGCAGACTCATAAACATTTTCAAGCCTTCTTTTGGCTTCTCGCACTTTAGCATCTGTGACACAAACATGAGTCTTGTCTTGTGTTTAGAGCTGGTCTCTGGGACGTCCACACGGGGAAGGGGGTGCCGTCATCCCGGCTCCTAGAGCCGCAAGCAGCCCCGGGGAGGGCTCTGGGCGGGGCTGGAGCCAATGTCCACCTTCCTGCAGGGGCCGCCGCCGCACAGCCCAAGGACAGAGGCCTGCCCGAGAGGTAAGAAGACCTCCCCAGAGGGGGCTTTCCGAGCCACCCACCGCCCCTCCATCACCAATCCCTCCTTGGCCTTCTCCAGCTCCGGCCCGGCCACTCCCGTCCAGGAGGAGGACCTCTGTAAGTGGAGGACGGGCCACCCTGGGGCGGGAGACAGGAGCCCCCAAGAACGTCTGTGGGCAATCGGGGCGGGGGGCTGATTGCAAACGGCCCTGGGCCTAGAGGTGAGGCAGCGTCGGTCTGCTCTGTGGCACTGGCCCCGTCACCGACCCTCCCAGCGTCACCCCCCATCCAGGAGGGAGAGGTGGGGGGAGCAGGGATCCGGCAGCAGGGCCCCATGTTCTGTCCGCCCCCCAGATGCCGTAGTGAGAGACAAGCCGCCTGAGGAACACGCGGAGCTGGACGGCCGGGTGAGTCCACGCCCCGCCACCTTCCGTCCACCCGCTCCGTCCGGCGGCCCCCGTCGCAGCAGCCAGCCCTCAGCCATCGGCCTGGTCCCTCTGGAAACATGCCAGTCTCGCGGCCGCCGCCGCCGCCGCCACCCACTCTCGTCCTCGGTCTCCCCTGTCTCCTGGGCGGCGCGGCAGGGTCAAGGGCTGTTGCTGTGCTGGTGTGACTGTCAGTCAACCGTGGTTCACACAGACCCCGTCGCACAGAGCGGAGCTGCCCCACAGGGTTCCCCAAGCTGTCACCTTTGAGAGAGCCGATGACCAGGTCTTTCTCCTGCGCGGCGGCTGGTGGGTTTGACCACCACCCTCTCCTCAGCTGCCTGGGGCCTCCCCGTTGGGCCATCGGGGCCCCTTTTCATCTACAGCTATGGCTGCACGCTTGTGTGCTGCACAGAAACCAGCCCTGGGCTTCAGGCACGATCAGAGGCACCGCCTGAAGTTCCCACCAGGGTGTCCTGGGTGCAGCTCGCTTCTGTTTCGGGGACTCTCTCTGCTCAGGTGCATGGCTGTGGGAAACCCAGTCACGTGTCTCGACTAGCATATGGGTGACGATCGGCTCCCACACAGCTCCGGTTCACCCGCCATCCCACCCTCCTGTGGGCCTGAGTCTCACTCGCTCAGAGCGGCCCACTGGACTTTCGCTGCTCCTCTCCACCACGATGGCACCACACCCAACTCCCACCTCCAGTCCCGACCTCCCCCGAGCACCAGACTCATGGCCCCAACTCCCCACCCCAGCTCTCTGTGGCCCCGTAACAGGCATTGCAACTTCACATCCCTCCTGCCCCTGATGTCCCCAAAAAATACATGAACTGAACGTCAAGAGCAGGATGGAGGAGACCCGCCTCCCCTCATTGTCTCTTGACAGCGGAGCCCCTAAGATAAAAACCCTCAGGGACTGGTATATACCCAGGCGAACCGCCACCCAAGACCTGGGCAGGGGGTGGCCACCTCTCCTTCCTCCCTGTCTGGAGGGCTGCAGGACATGAAGGACAGACAAGTGGAAGAGCACGGGCGGACGGACAGCCAGGTGGATCCGTTCTCTCCATTTTCTCAGGCTACCCTATCAAGAGCCCTGCGGGTG